GGATACTTGAGAGACTGAGTTCCTCAATTTTGGCAATCTTGGAGATGTGCTCGGGGGAGTCGGCTGAGAGCTTAGATAGTATGTCGGCCTCGGAGTTCTGAGCCCTCGGTATTTGAGTGAGAGAGTGTGCCTCAAATACCTTAAGCAACTCCTTGGCCGCCTCTTTGTACTGTTTCATTCTTCCCTCCTTGGCCTCATATTCCTCGGAGATTTGGCCAACGACCAACTTGGAGTCGCATTTGATGTGGATCTGCCGAGCCTTCATGTTGGCAGCCAGCCGAAGGCCACATAGGAGGGCCTCATACTCGGCCTCGTTGTTGGAGACTTTGAAAGAGAAGCGGATTGCATAGTAGGCTCTGAAGCCCTCGGGAGTAATGAGGACCACCCCTCCCCCGCATGCTTTGGTCGCGGAGGAGCCGTCGGTGTAGAGGGTCCACCAGTCGTCCGAGGTAGCCGAGGGCTCCCCGTCCGTGGCTGCCCTTGCGGTACACTCCGTCACAAAGTCCGCCAGGGCTTGGCCCTTGATGGCAGGCTTCGGATGTATGTCAATGTTGTATTGGCTCAAGAAGATAGCCCATTTCACCATGCGGGAGGAGCTGGTGGGGCTCCTCATGAGGGCGCCGAGGGGTTGATGAGTGAGGACCTGAACCGGGTGAGCCTGAAAGTAGTGGCCCAACTTCTTGACGGTCCAAACGATGGCTAACACCGTTTTCTCCACAGGAGAGTACCTGAGCTCGGCCTCCCTTAGGGTCTTGCTTACATAGAAGATGGCATGTTGGATGCCGTCTTCCTCCCGGATGAGCACGGAGCTGATGGCCGCCGGGCTGACCCCAAGGTAGAGATAGAGGGTCTCCCCTACCTTTTTTTTTGAGAGCACAGGGGGTGAAGATAGATACCGTTTGAGTTCGTCGAAAGCCCCCTGGCATTCTGGAGTCCATAGAAAGCCAGCCGTCTTCCTCATGATCTGGAAGAAGGGTAGAGACTTCTCCGCTGATTTAGATAGAAAGCGGTTGAGGGCTGCCAGGCGGCCTGTCAACCGTTGAACTTCCTTCACGTTGCGTGGGGGCTCCATGTTGATGATGGCCTGGATCTTCTCGGGATTGGCCTCAATACCCCTTCGGCTCACCATGTAGCCTAAGAATTTGCCCCCTTGGACGCCGAAGGTGCACTTCTTCGGGTTTAGCCGAAGGTTGAACTTTTGCATGATGGCGAAGATTTCCCGGAGGTCGTCGGCATGGCTGGAAGATTGTTTGCTCTTGACGATCATGTCGTCAACATAGGCCTCCATGGTGCGCCCTAGGATGGCCTGAAAGACCCGGACCACCATCCGGGTGTAAGTGGCCCCTGAGTTCTTTAGGCCGAAGGCCATCACTAGGTAGCAGAAGATGCCCTCGGGAGTCATGAAGGCTGTCTTTTCGGCGTCTTCTTCATGCATGAAGATCTGATGATACCCGCGGAATGCGTCGAGGAATGACATGATTTCACACCCCGCGGTTTCATCTACAAGTTGATCGATATTGGGCAAAGGAAAAGGGTCGATAGGGCACACCTTGTTGAGATCCGTGTAGTCCACGCACATGCGGAAGGTAGGAGGATTCTGTGCGAGGACTACATTTGCCAGCCATGAGGGGTATTTCACCTCCTTGATGTGCTTAATAGAGAGGAGCATGGCGACCTCCTTCTTCACAAATTCCCTCCTTTCGGCGGAGAGGGGTCTTCTTCGTTGCTGTACTGCTTTTGCCGAGGGGTCCACCGAGAGGCGGTGGGTGATGACCCTTCGGCTTATTCCCGGCATCTCCTCCATTTTGGCCATCATGGCCTCGTATTTGAGGTCTGAATGAGGGGTGGAGGTTGTGGCGTGAGCTTTGTTGGCCTCCATTTCGTCAAACCGGCGTTGGAGGGCCGCAATAATTTCGTCCCGGGGATCCTTCGGGAGGGTCTCCGCCCCCTGCGAACGAACCCGGGCCGAGTGGGCCTGGTTGATTTGGTGGCGAGCATCATCGGCATGAAGGGGTGCCTTGCCTTTGTCCCGAGGGGGACGCTCCTCGTCTGCCCTCGAGACAGACCCTCCGCTTTCCTGGGGCCTTTGGAGTGCTTTCCCTCCGAGGCGGTCTTGGACCCCTCGGCGGTCTGGCCCTCCTCTGAGCCGGTTGAGGGCGGAAGTGCGGGGCCTTTCTCTGTTGTCATTGTGGCGGTCCCGGGACTGAACTTCCTGGGAGGCCGTATCTTGGGCCACTACCCCTTCGTCGTTCCTAACCCGAGGGATGGGGTTTCCGAAGGGGTGTGGCAGAGGGGGAAGTATGATGTTCTCCCCAACCTGGGGTTGAGCCGGAGCCAGGGTGTCGAAGGCACCTGGGTTCTGAGTGAGCGTCTGGATGAAGGCGGAGAGCGCCGAATGAACGTCGATGGTGAGAACTGGAGGGCTGACTTGGTCATCGCTCCGGTTTTTCTTCTTGGCCTCGATGTCGAGGCGGGCATCAGGGGCATTCTGTTGGATCTGAAGGCGTAGGTCGACAGCCGCCTATTCCATCCCAGCAATGACACCGCCCTCGGGAGCCCTGTGAGAGGCTTCGGGGGCGTTGACGTCGCCGAGGGCCAGGTTCTTGTCTTCCACGTTTTTGGAGTTGGCACGTGTTGTTCTCACCATTTTGGTAGAGGGCTAGTGTTTGGCGAAGGGGGAGGGTTTCTTACTCGATTGTTCAACCTCTCAACGAGAGCACCAAATGATGGATAATGTACCCGAGGGTAGCTTATCCGAGGGGTTATCACGGGGAGTAACAAGAGAGAAGTCAGAGCAAGTAAATGTAGAGAGAGAAAGTATGTTATAAGTGTGGAGCGTTTTCAGCGTGGTTACAAATGGGGAATGGGGTGCTATTTATAGTAGCAATAAATGCCGGACAGGGACACGCGTCAAGCGCCCATTGGCCGAGAGGTCACCTCAACTGGTTGGCGCTGGCAGCCGCATGTGGCCGCATTTAATGCGGCTGTTGGATGGGACATCTGTACAGGGTACGGTGATCTGTACGCATGTGATGCGGATATCATGTAGGGAGAGGTGCCCTCGGCTGCAGAGGACTAGCCAAGGGCTCTTAGTGCCGAGGACCCCCGAGTGCCGAGGGCTCCAGGTGCCGAGGGCTACTGTTTTCTGTCGTTTTCCTCCCAGTTTCTTAGTTTGCTTGAAAAACCCGTTCTGTGAGAGTTTAGAGCCTTCGACCAGGGGGCCGAAGGCACCCCTGGTGCGCCTTGCGGGCTGCTTGGTACTCTGGGCGCTGTGATTTGGGCCTGTTGGGCCTTCTGGGCCTGTTGGGCCTTTACTGGAGTAGTAGGAGTCTGTGGGCCGGGTGTTCCCGGGCCATATACTCCATCAGACATGATTGTCCTGACTTTCATATTCTTCTCAGTCTGAAGTTGCTTTAACAGAGATGGCAACTTCTGAAGAGTTTAATTTTTCTTTGACAAGAAGATTGTCCATGTATATCTGGAATAGTCATCAACCATGACTAGGGTGTACTTCTTACCACCAACACTTGGAGTCTCAACTGGTCTAAATAAATCCATGTTGATCAGATTTAAAGGACTTGTAGAGAGATCTCCAACAATGGGTTTGAAAGAGTTCTTCTGTTGTTTTCCCTTCTGGCATGCACTGCAGAGGGTCTCTTTCTTGTAGACTATATCTGGCAGTCCATCAATAATGTGTTCTCTTGCCAGCTTGTTGATTGTTTTGAAATTCAAATGGTTAAGCTTCTTGTGCCAGTCCCAGTTTAGTTTTGAATCTCCCTTTGATATCAGGCATACTCCATCTTTTGCAATTTTTCAATTAACTACATAGATATTCTTCTTTCTTGTTGTTGTAAGAACCACTTCCTTTGATGTCTCATGCTTCACATAGCAGAAGTCCTTTGTGAATTCAACAGTGTAGCCTTTGTCATAGAATTGGCTAGCACTTAGAAGATTGAACTTCAGGCCTTTGATATAGGAAACATCATCAATGACTATCTGGTTCCTGATCAGCTTGCCTTTTCCTTTTGTTTGACCTTCTTTGTCATTACCTCCAAAGGCAACTCTAGGTCCTTTGCATTTCTGGAACTCTGTTAGGCAACTTTTGTCACCTGTCATGTGCCTGGAGCATCCACTATCAATAAATCATTCTTGCTCAGAGATAGCTCCAACACACAGTTCCTGCATGATCAAAAGAAAGATTTAGGTACCCAAGCGATGTTGGGGCCTGAGGGGTCATGGAGTCTGGGTAGTTGGTACCATTTCGGTCTCATCAAGTGAAACCTTGGTGGGAGTTACGCACATGATTAATCATAACATATGAGGCTTTGACATACCCTCTCGTCCCTTATAACTTCGCCAACTTTCTTGTTTTGATTGTCCCACTAACTTTGTCATTTTTTTAAACAAAGAATTTGTGATTCCTGTTAATTCTACGTGGATATACATCATTCACACAATTTTTACTTTATTATTCTACGTGCTAGTCAACATCGACAAATTTTTGAAGGATATGTGAAGTATTATTTAAATCAGATATTAATGTACATAATTTATATATGAGGAGTCTGTCCCAAAGTCATGACATCTGGCTTTGTATGCAGATGCTTCTTTATGTTTCCATTCAGAATAAAAGTCAATAAACTGAATAGTAGTTTTTTTTATCTTCAAGATTTTAGAATTTGAGGAAAAATGTCATAAGAGGCCAAAACCACCACTAAAATTACAGAAATCCAAAATATTTTGAATTTGACATAATCAGTGCATATTCTTTTGCATTGCATCCATGTAAAGATCACAATCTTAAAGTCGTTAAATAGTTGATTCCGTAGATTCTGATGAAATAAATCAAGTTAGGACTAAAATGATTTGAATTGGTAAAATATACGGAGTATTTTATTGATAAAATAAAGAAAAAAAATTGTGAAATACGTACTTAAATTCTGTTTGTGCAATAACTTTAGCCCATTGTGTGAGAAAATAAAAAATTACCTGTGTTTAGTAAAAAAATTGTCTAATAAAAGTGAGCAGGCGCTTCGCCCTATCCGCCCGCCTCAGAGCACAGCTCACCCTGCGCGGGTGCATATATATAAGTTGGTCCTCGACCTCGCTTCGTTTCCTGCAAATCCGCGAGCTTGTTCATTCTCTCTTCTCCTATCTTTCATCTTAATAATCTCAAGAAAATGGGAGAGAAGTCCAAGCCCGCTGGTGGTGTCTGGCCAACTGTCAAACCTTTCGTCAATGGGGGGTGCTCCGGTATGCTTGCAACCTGTGTTGTGCAGCCCATCGACATGATCAAGGTACATAGTATGCTTAACCCTAGTAAGATTTTCCTAAGAGATCGCCTTCCTGCTGTTTCCCATTTTCTTATTAAACTCTGAGATCTTTTTATATTAAAAGTGTTAGCTTAGCGGACTTGCCAACCTCACTTTTTATTGGATTCTACGGGCTCTTCTTTTTCTACATGAATTGGTTTTGTAGAGTGATCTGAATTGCTTTTTAAATCATCTGGCTTGTATTTGCTCAGCTTTTCTTGCATTGGAAGTTCATAAAGCTTAGATCTTGCCAGGACTCTGTCTTTATTTAAACATTTTTGTTTGGATCTGCAATAGCTATTGCTTCAACATAAATCATTCAATAATACCACCTTTGGTTTCCTTTATAATGTTAGGTAAGAATTCAACTGGGTCAAGGATCTGCAGCGGATGTTACCAAGAATATGCTCAGAAACGAAGGGTTTGGTGCTTTTTACAAGGTTTGTACCTAATTGTGTTTCAGTAACTCAGAAGCTTAAGTGTTTGTTAGATCTAACTATTGATTTAATCATTTAAATCATTTAATCTATAGTCAAAGTCAGTTCAACATTTACTTGTGGGATATGAACAGATACCCATCTTATTCATCTGCTTGAGATTTGCTAGTTAGTCTGTTATAGTGATTCCAATAATATTTTACCTCTCCTTGGACGCCTAAGGGTTAGTTGGGATGGAGTGTTTTGGAAGGGATGGTATAGATCTTCTCATGAAACAAAATGTTTATGAAAAATGAATAAAATGCGATTGAGATGCTATATATTCACCTATTACCACGTTCCTTCAAATTGTAAAAGATCTCACCCGCATATGATTACATATTACGCCTTGGATGCCTATGGTTTTTTGTATGTTAAGTCAACATGGTTCTACATAGATCTTATTACAACATTGTGACTAATTATGTAGGCTCAATGGATTTCGTTGTTTGTGTCTCTGCATATGTTTTTTCTGATTGCCACCTCGCCCATCTTTTATGTGTTTGATGTTTGTGTAGTCTACTTGTAACATCAATTGTATTCGTCATGTCAACCAGGGTTTGTCTGCTGGACTTCTTAGGCAAGCTACATATACAACCGCCCGGCTTGGAACATTCAGGTGATTTTTTTGTATTCCTTAGAAGTTGTCGTAGTATTTCCACCATTTTCAGTGGAGCCAGATACTTACTATTTTTGGCTTGGGGATATGTTGAAATAAAGCAAAATGGCTTACTAAACTGTGTGTGTTTCTTTGTTATGAAGTAGCAACAAGTCCATGCAATTTTCGATGCAATTTTTATCACGAGTCATCCACAAACAGTCTCTTTGTGCTTAAGTACAGGGGTAAGGTTGCGTACACCGACTCTCCCTTACCCACCGTAGTTAGGAGCCTTTGCGGCATTGGGGTAATGTTGTTCTTGTAGAAAACTAGAAGTTGTCGTAATGGAGGAGACCTAGTGTTGCAAATAGAATGATAGGTGGGACGAGGAGGAGGAAGGAAATGACCTAGGCAGACGTGAATTAGAGTAATCAAGAATGATATCATACTATGTGGGTTAGATAAGAATATGACTATGGAGTGGGGGAAGTGGAGAGAGCATATGTGCAAAGGATAGGTTGTACTATCCTCTGTTCTTTAATTCTTGCAACAGTTTGACTTTCACGTTTGTCAACACACAACTTTGACTGTAATTATATTTAATTATGTATTAGTAAACATTATAAAAGGTTGATATTTTGGAAATTCACATTTATAGGAATTCAATAACATTTTATACGTAATTATTTGATTATGTATATTAGTAGAAAATCGTGGTCAAAGTATGGTGTGTGAATAGTGCAAAAATCACAATGTTACAAGAATTAAAGAATGAAGGAAGTATATATTTTTACTCCCTCCATCTCTATCTAATGTCCTTAGCTCCGATATCATATGTTGATTAATGTTAGTTGACTCTAAACTCTTGGTGTTTGTCACCTCTTTTCAATTACTGGTGCATTAACTTGTAAAGCCAAAAATCATATCAAACTATCAATTAAGAGCTTTTATCACCAAAAATGTTCACCCCCACAACCAAAAGATTCCAGTCTCTTATGCTGTTTATCACTCTTTACCTTGTAAATTTGGAATGTTTGAGACTCTGAATAATTGTTGGTCTATTTTTTTATTGGCTTGTACCATGTGCAACAAAAAAAATATATTCTTTTTGTAAAATCATGGTGTAGTTTGGTCCAACTTTGGGAATGGTGAAGATACTTCCACTATCTACTATTTCAATTTCAACTCAAGTAACATTGCACCTGTAGAAACTCTGAGGGTGTGTTTGGGAGTTGGGTTTTGGAGGGGAGGGGAAGGTTAATGGAGGTTTATGACCCTCCTTTTCATGTTTGGGAGTTTAAAAAAAATTGGAGGGGTGGTTTTGGAGGGCTTTTGTAACCCTTCAAAACCCTCCAAATGCTTAATTTTTAAGTTCTCTCAATTTGGAGGGTTTTGAAGGATAATTAACAAGATGGTAATTTAAGCTAAATTAGAAACGAATATCATCTCAATGATTTGAATTCGTCATATCTCAAAGTGATTTTAATTATAATTTCTTCAAAAACCTCTCCTTCCAATTTTATTACTCCCAAATACAAAGAAGGACTTCCTCACCCTCCCCTTCCTTTCCCCTCCAACAACATACCTCCAAAGCCTTCCCCTCCCCTTCCCTCCAAACTCCCAAACATACCCTGAAGGAGTGGCTTTGTCATTGGTATACCATCTTCTCTTTAAGGGTCTGTTTGGAACATGGAAAATACCAGTGAAATAAAATATGAAGGAATACATAGAGCAAAGAAAATATGGGTGGAAATAACATATATGCTAAACTTGGAATAGTTTTCAAATATTTATTGACACATTTTATATATTTATTTATATTATTTAAAGACTAAGAAATCTGAATACATGTATACAAAATAAAAACAGATCAATTTTCATTTTTCAAGGTAAAATCAAATACAAGAAAAACTTTACGCAGCTATATTGGGGTATCATTTTAGAACTGTAGAATAATATACAAATCTTTTTCATATGCTAAAGTAAGCAACAAGAGTATCATCGTTATTAGGAACACGGTTCTCATTTCTTTGTGTTTGGAAGCTAGAGCAATAAATAATTTTATTCAAAGACTTATTTGGTTGTTATCCACAATAGACTCCTGACAGAGAAGGCTGTGGAGGCGAATGCGGGGAAACCTTTACCTCTATATCAGAAGGCATTGTGTGGGCTAACCGCAGGAGCAATAGGAGCATGTGTGGGGAGTCCTGCTGACCTGGCACTCATCCGTATGCAAGCCGATGCCACCTTACCTGCTGCCCAACGCCGGAACTACACGAACGCCTTCCATGCACTGTATCGCATTGTTGGCGATGAAGGATTCTTAGCCCTTTGGAAGGGCGCTGGGCCAACTGTAGTGAGGGCAATGGCATTGAACATGGGGATGCTTGCTTCTTATGATCAAACTGCAGAGTTCCTTAAAGGTTCTATGGGCTTGAATGAGGTTCCCACTGTGATAGGTATGATAATTTTCCATTGTTATGAAAAGACCTATGCATGTGCTAGGTGGCAGATTGGTTGCCAAAGACTACATAAGGTTAGTTTGGATTGAGGGTTTTGGAGGGGTGGGCTTTAGATGATAAGTATAATGTTTCTAAAAGTGAATTAAATGTGATATGATCACCTATTATGCCATTCCTAAGATCTTATAGTATCTTCATAATATATGTCAAGATGTAGACATAATCCTCCAAGACCTAAAAAAGGACAGCCCGGTGTACGAAAGCATCCTCGCAAGGTGAGGGTACGGGAAAGGGTCCCACCACAAGGGTGTATGGATGTTTTTACTTGGACTATAATTCCTCCCAGACCAGACCAGACTTGGATAGTTATAAAAATACAAAGAAACCAGACCAGACCAGATCAGATCAGACCAGACCAGACCAACAAATTACAGTCCAAGTAAAAACATCCTATAAGGAGCAAGCCTTCCCTGTCAGTTTTTGACAAGAGACCGCTCCCAATACTTGTACCCGTGACTGCTCGGTCAACACCTTAATTGGTGCGCTAAGGCTCCTCTTCATAACCCTCCAAGGCCTACTTCTCCAAAAATCTTGATCCAAATTGGGGTCAGGCGGTGATTCTTACTCTTGCTGCAATGCGTACACATTGTGCCATATTGGTACATCGTCCTTAAATCCCATTTTCATGTAATGCTGAAATTCAAATAATTTGCTCCTTTATATAAAGCAGTAGTCAAATAGCAAAGCGTACCACCTTTTTAAATTACCTAACTGCCTTAAATTTGCTGCACACTTTCAAATCATGGATCTCTAAATGTCTATATGGCATTGCCCACAAACTTAAAGTTGTAAGTACTTGTTTATTTATTTATCATAAAAGTGAACCAACCACATCACATCATAGATATAGCCCTTAGGTAGCAGTTTTCAAAACTATAAGATTGCTTGCTGTTTTTGTTTGCAGGAGCTAGTGCAGTTTCAGGGTTCTTTGCAGCAGCTTGCAGCTTACCCTTTGATTATGTAAAAACACAAATCCAAAAGATGCAACCAGACTCGTCAGGGAAATACCCCTACACTGGATCTTTTGATTGTACTTTGAAAACACTCAAGGCTGGTGGGCCCTTTAAATTTTACACAGGATTCCCGGTATATTGTGTAAGAATAGCTCCTCATGTCATGGTATGTTTATCCTATCATCCAATTACCTGTTCTTAGTTTTGTCTGCTACATTTTCCTGAGGGCAACACTTCTTTTTCAGATGACGTGGATATTCCTTGATCAAATCAAGAAGGCTGAGGCGAAGTTGGGATTATAGATAAGAATTGCGGCAAAGAACTGCCACCTGAGCGAATCATTTCTATCGTAAAATAATAATATTAGCCATGACTAGTAATGTTTTTCATTAGTTCCTACAACAGCTGAGGGATTGATTCAAGATTTTTAGACTGCAGTGATTGACATATGGACTCCAAGTTGTAATCGGCTAGGGAGCTGCATTTTTTCATACTTCTGCGATGGGTCTTTGACAAGATCTCTTATTGAATATTCCCTGATATGGAGAATAAGATCTATGCACTTTTATTCTAAGTGGCTGTAGCCTTTGTGTTTACTCTGCATTGTGGCTGTGTCCTTGCATAGTAGATTGGTGCGCTATATAGCCAACATGAAAAAGGTAACAGAAGTGTATGGGGACATTCTGCACGGGATTGTGAATTTGTGATATACCCAAATAGGAGCTAAATTTAGGTCAATGTGATTATGTGAAGAGTTAAATTACGTGAAGGTATTTTCATTTTACATTATTGTGAGATGTGCATCATATATATAGATTAGATATAGTTCTCTAAAAGATAAAGTTTGATATATAATACAACTCTGGATGATAATTACAACATGAGTAGTAAATAATAGTGAGGATCATATTGAGTAACAATATAATCTCTAATCTCTATCATGCCTGCGCAAAATGGACACAAATCTAGGTGATAATATGATGAAAATGAGAATGCGGACACAAATCTAGGCTTGATTAAGAAATGCAACTCGGCCTTTGAACCAGACATTTGTAACTCGTAGTATGTTGTGTTGGACATGTTTCGGTATGTAGTCATAGGCATGGACTCGGGCTGGTCTGGGTCGGGCCTCTGGCCATGCCCGGCCGAGCTTTTTTGTGTTGTTGAGACCCGAAACCGGCCTAGGTACATTATTATTTTTTGATTTTCTAATTACTTCCTACTAGGGATGGATTCGGGCCGGGTCGGGCCCGGTCGGGCCGCCGGTTCTAGAATAGTGGGCCCGGGACCGGCCCGAGGGTTGGACGGGTCCGGTTCGGGCCGGACCACCCGCCGGGCCGGGTAATTTTTTTTTTTTAATTTATATTTTATACTTTATAGTTTTATACAAGTATTAAAAAACAAACTTCAAGTGCATTTATTTGAAATGAAATAGGAACTACATTTGAAAATTAAATAGGAACTATAATTGTTTTTAATCGGAATCTCCGGCATAAGTAGAGTCACCCTCTATAACCTCTATATTGCGGATTTAAACAAGTTTATGCATAATCACGAAAAGCAAGACTTTCAGAAAACAAATAAGGCAAATTTTCTTCAACAAGTAAGTTAGCCATACCTGTCAAATTTTGTGCATCATTGTATGAGAAATTACTAAAAGCTTGTTGGTTATTTGCAAACCTCGATATTTGCGTTTGCTTCCCCGTTCCGCCGCCTAATTTTGCATACTCCACCGGGTGTTTGGACTTAAGGTGTCTTGTGGCGGATCCGTATCCGCCGGAAATCCCCAAGCTATAGTTTTTCTTGCACCAATTGCAAGTTGCGGTCCAATTCCCGGTGTTCGGGTCCTTCCACTTAGAAAAATTATTAGCCATTAATTCAGATTTACTTTTTTTTGTACCTGTTTGGGATGAGGCTGCTTGGTCGGCGTCATGGCTGCCGCCACCCTCCTCCTCCTCGTCGTCGTGGCTCTCCGGAATTGCTTCCTCCACATCGTCGTCCTCGTCCTCGAGCTCTTCTTCGTCAATGGTCCTCGGTTGGTCTTGAAAAAAGCGGGAATTATGTCGGTGCAATTCTTGTTCTAGTTGTTCGTCGGTCATCGCATCCCCATCCCTCCTTACGTAACCCGTATCAAAATCATCTTGACTTTGAGATGAAGAGCCGATATGTGATTTACCTTTGCGGGATCTCTTCCTCGCAAGCTCGTTCGTTCGGTTGCGCTCGAGGTTACCCATATCAACCGAATATCTAGGACGATCCATCTAAAAAATGTAGCAATTAATAAAAAATTGTAAAAAACTAATTAAGTAGTGAATTAACTAGTTTTGTGTACAACATATTTTTTAAACTAGAGTCAAATGTAGCAATTAATAAAAAATTGTAAAAAACTAATTAACTATTTATCTAACTATTAATTCGAGTTATAGCAAATTAAGTAGTGAATTAACTAGTTTTGTGTACAACATATTTTTTAAACTAGAGTCAAATGTAGCAATTAATAAAAAATTGTAAAAAACTAATTAACTATTTATCTAACTATTAATTCGAGTTATAACAAATTAAGTAGTGAATTAACTAGTTTTGTGTACAACATATTTTTTAAACTAGAGTCAAATGTAGCAATTAATAAAAAATTGTAAAAAACTAATTAACTATTTATCTAACTATTAATTCGAGTTATAGCAAATTAAGTAGTGATTTAACTAGTTTTGTGTACAACATATTTTTTAAACTAGAGTCAAATGTAGCAATTAATAAAAAATTGTAAAAAACTAATTAACTATTTATCTAACTATTAATTCGAGTTATAACAAATTAAGTAGTGAATTAACTAGTTTTGTGTACAACATATTTTTTAAACTAGAGTCAAATGTAGCAATTAATAAAAAATTGTAAAAAACTAATTAACTATTTATCTAACTATTAATTCGAGTTATAGAAAATTAAGTAGTGAATTAACTAGTTTTGTGTACAACATATTTTTTAAACTAGAGTCAAATGTAGCAATTAATAAAAAATGGTAAAAAACTAATTAACTATTTATCTAACTATTAATTCGAGTTATAGAAAATTAAGTAGTGAATTAACTATTTTTGTGTACAACATATTTTTTAAACTAGAGTTAAATGTAGCAATTAATAAAAAATTGTAAAAAACTAATTAACTATTTATCTAACTATTAATTCGAGTTATAGCAAATTAAGTAGTGAATTAACTAGTTTTGTGTACAACATATTTTTTAAACTAGAGTCAAATGTAGCAATTAATAAAAAATTGTAAAAAACTAATTAACTATTTATCTAACTATTAATTCGAGTTATAGCAAATTAAGTAGTGAATTAACTAGTTTTGTGTACAACATATTTTTTAAACTAGAGTCAAATGTAGCAATTAATAAAAAATTGTAAAAAACTAATTAACTATTTATCTAACTATTAATTCGAGTTATAGCAAATTAAGTAGTGAATTAACTAGTTTTGTGTATAACATATTTTTTAAACTAATTAAACAAGTGTAAATAATAGAATAATTTCGTACCTCTTTCGGACTTTCGGTCTTTCGGATGGGAGTAATAGAATGACTTCAAATTAATTAGATATAATTCCAACTATATTAATAGATATAATAAATATATAAGTAATATATAATTAGATAACAAATATAAGTAATATAATACTATTTATATCTATTTATAGTTTATATAAGTAGATAATTAATATAAACTATAAATAATAAATATAATATATTGGAGAATGGAGAATAAGAGAATTAGAGAGTAGAGAGTTAAGAATAGGATTTAGGAAGAATTGGAGAAGAGATATGAAAAAATGTTTAAGATTAGGAGTATTTATAGGTTTTTTTACCCCCCACCCCCCCCACCCCACCCCCACCACCCAACCCCCCCGGACCCCCCCTTTACCCCACCCAACGGCTATATAGCCGTTTGGGTTGTCCCCAGCCCCAGCCCCAACGGCTAGTAGGAGCCCAAACCAATTTATTTTTTTAAATTGAACCGGACCCGGGCCCGGGCCCGACCCGGCCGGGCCGGGTCACAAAAATGCTGAACCGAGCCCGCCCCGCCCCTTCCCCCCGGTTCGGGCCCATACCCGGTCCCGGGCCCGCACAGTACCGGGCCGGGCCGGGTCACGGGCCGGGTGGCCCGAACCAAATCCAACCCTACTTCCTACCCCCACCTCCTCCCCAGTCCCCACATCCCAAATCCCTCCCAAACACCTAACTCAACCCATTTACCTCCCAAAGAATTTGAAAAACAAAAAAAATGGTCTGGACCGGGTTCGGATCAACCGGGCCGATTCATTTTTTGAAACCCGGAGCCCGCCCCGAAAAAATACGGTCCGAGTGGCTCGGGCTGGGCCGGTTACAGGTCGGTTGGCCCGGCCCGAGTCCATCCCTATGTAGTCGTGGTCTAAGGTAAGATGCTTCAATTGAGAGTAAAGAATTAGGTTAGCACAAAGATATGTAGTGCTCACATTATCAAAATATAGAAGTTGTTGCTTGGGAATGAAGCCTCGAAGCTCGGTACGATGATAAAGGATCCAACAAAGCTCTGCCATTGTGAAAGCAATGGATCGATATTCAACCCCAACAAAAGATTTGGCCATTGCAAATTATACCGTGGGATCAGCCCACCTTCCGCATGATGTGCCGATCCCACTTTAGGCTTTGATTTCTTTTTCATTGCTTTCACGTTCATTCCCACTTCCCAGCCAATTTTTTTTTGTTTATTTTTAATTCAACTTCTTCCTGAATATTCCAACCACTAGTTACTTTGATCTCCTTTTGACCTTTTTTTTCCTATTACCATATAAATTACGTAGTATGATTTACCATATAAAGAAATTATTTTCTTTTTTCTTGCTCCTTAAAGGAATATGTTAGTAAAATTAAATTCTGAAAGTGTCAATATTAGTATAAAAAAGTTTATCAATCTAAATAAAATAAGTATATTGCATTTCATATTTATACACTATTTTTGTTTCTGTAATATTTTTGTATTCATATACTTTTTTTGTAATATACTTTTTATATTCATGCACTTTTTTGTAATATTTTTTATATGCACACACTTTTTCTATAATATTTTTTATCACTTTTAATTGTTTTTAGAGGTTTTTAAGACATTGAGTTTGTTTATTTTGATTCTAGCTTGGAGTTACATTTGATAATATACGAAGTTACATCATCTTATACTCCAGTTACAAGTTATTATGCGTGAGTTACATCTTGTTATGTGTGAGTTACATCTTCTTATACGCGAGTTACATACTTTTATGTGCGAGTTACCTGTAATTATGTGTGAGTTATATCTAATTATTTGTGATTTTTTACTTATCTTTATCTTGAACTAATTAAATTATAACTGAATTAATTTTTTTTTGAAAGAACTGAATTAATTTTTCCCTTTACCAATTTAATACAAAATTTTATTAATCCACATAAAATAAGTATATTGTATTTCATATTCATACACTATTTCTTACTTTGTATACTTTGTTTTTATATTTATTATACACTTTTTTTGTAAAATATTTTTTATATTCATATACTTTTTTC